AAATATTCCTAACTTAGGTCTCTATCAATTTCATGAAGAACACTGAGGTAGATAAAATCATTTAAATGCACATAATACAACAAACATACAAAACATAGGTGCAGTGGATAAATGAAGACATACAGCTTGACCGGTTCTCAGTGTATGCACAATAACCGAAACTACAAATATTATATTACTAAAATTAAAAAATTCCAAGATAGCTAACTCAATTATCTACAACTTTCATGGTGATCACTTAGGCCAAAAATAACTTTAAAACCGAGTTTCAGCATATAACACTTAGATCAAGAAATCTGCCAACAAACTATTTATAAATTACAGCAGGTCACTAAAACAAGAATATCTCATGCCACAAAACTCCGAATCATGCAAACTCAAAACCTACCGAAACTACACTTGAATTGCTACAAATTCTACGAAGGGCTCCTTTACAAATAATCACGTTAATGTCCTCATTTTAAAACATACATTTTAGTCATATACACTGCCACTATTTCAAAAATTCTGAGCATAACCTCATCTTTGAAAATTTATATAAAATCAACCAGAACTCCAACTAACATAATTTCAACTCCCAGAGAAAGCTTATAACATTTACTACAAGTTTCATGTTGATCATATTTTCACATAGTCACATTAAGATTGTCAAAAATAGCCCAACATCATGATTCACAATTCTGCCCGAAATTTCAAAAACTGCTTGCAGATTCAACTTCAAAAATTCATAATAAATTCAATTTAAATCCGAATTTCGAAATTACAACTCTCAATGAACCCAAACTCAAAATACTATAATTATCATGATAAACACCTACCCAAGAAACAGCTTCTTGGTTACGAAAAACTAAGCACAAACAGAGGCTTAAACATGGAGTTTTTCAATTAAATACGACACAAGACATATATTAAAGAACATAGCATCAACGAGCCACATATGATCACAATATACCTCATGTACACACATATAAAATTTAGGAGGATCAACCAAAAACTTTGATAACCGCATACAAATCAACTCACACTTAAACCTTAACTCATCTCACAATTTCGAAACTCGGCCAGGGTCTGAAGAAAAATGAATACATTCTCAGTCCTGATTGACTGGGTCCTCACTCAGAGATAAGGAATAGAATTATATAGAAAGGGAGACAGCTATGGACAGAACTTAACTCGAAACAACATATTGAAACTCACAACGAGAAACCTCTAGAGTCCAAACTTAACTCTATATCACTAGAGTTCAAAGTCAATCACTAGAGTTCACATAACCTGAGGTGGATAGATTTCCTAAACCCCCAAACAACATATATATCACTTCATGAGTAGTCTCATTGCTACTCGTGCAAAACCTCATAAGTAGTTTCATTGCTACTCATGTAAAATATCACAAGTAGTTTCATTGCTACTCGTGCAAAACATCACAATTCACATTATATGTATTTTCATTAATTCTTATATAAAACATATCTTAAGCAGCGCGGAGTGACAGAGACGAGTGGTCATATTACAAGGTCTAAACACATACTCACATATAAACTAGTCTACAGAAACGCAGACTGGCTCTGATACCAAACTGTAACGCCCCACTTTGATTTTACTGAAAATTTCGAATATTTCCAAAACCAGTATAAAATTTTCAAAATCATTTTCGAAAATTTAGTGGGTGTTAACTAACATTTTTCATATCCCAAGTCTTATCTGGGCCTACGGAGATTCATTACCCGGTTTTCACAATCGGTTTTCATTAACCAACATCAACTCATGAAATAAATAACCAAACATCAATTTCATAACAACAAAGGTTCATAAGTTTCAAAACCAACACACAAGGTTCGAAAATAGTTTGCACAAAACATGACGTGCACCAAACTTATTCAAGTTCAGCAGAAGCAAACAAAAGCATAAGTATATAGACCGACCCAACTCGTCCCTTCCTCGTCACCCGGCTGTCGCTTAACCTGCATCGGTGAAGAGCAGGTGGGGATGAGCACTAGATGATAAACGTGCTCACCACTATGCACATATATCACAACATAATAATGAAGAGAAGGTATGGTTAGAGTATGAACATAAAACAATTACTCTGTCACGTCTCCTAATCACATCACAACATAATACCCACGTGTACACATCTTTCATTAGCCAAGGAAAGGGGATTCATTACCCTAACTCATGGGGGTACGTGCCATACGACAAGGCACGGCCTTTCATTAGGTCTTACGGAGTCTTACCTCGCAGGTAACCGTATTACATCGACGGGGACAACCGTACCGACGGCCGTAACAGCTCACATCGATAGGATACATGGTTTACGTACATACTAAAATCATACCCATTCAACATGAAACACACATATATGGCATAGCAAGTTTTGAATAAGTAAACCCACCTGGTGCAGCAAAGGAACCAACACAATCAAGAGTAGGCAGCGAGCACGGCTCGTCAAACACCTACAACAGTTATTATGCTAAGATCAATACTTTTGACCTTAGAGAAACATACACAATCATACTTGGTCGAACTTGGTTCAACCAAGTAGTTCGTGAAGTTCTGTGGATATTGGAACACTTGGACTTGACTCGACCAATTAAAAGCAAATACACCAATTCAAGAAGGTCGGGGAACCTAATGAGTTAAGTTCTGAAACTTTAAAATAAAATCCATCTTACTGGACTTAACAAAACTTCAGCCCCAAACTCATTATACACAATTTTATAAAATTCAAATACGGTATCAGCAAAAACGAGCATAAAATCCAAAGCCCGAACTAACGAACGAATTAGTACATAATATTTTTACTGGGGAAAGTTCAGCAATTAAGAATAAACATATAAAAATCCCAGCAATTTACTCCAAATACACAAATTATGAAAATTCATACAAAGATTCAGCAGTTATCGAGTTTTAATTAAAACCGAACCAATTCTAACTCTAAAAATTCCAATATTTTTACAACATGCTCGAACACATAAAACAAGCATCTCAGCAAAAAATCAGAATTTTCTAACAACTAACCAATTTAAAAAAATTAAATCAATATTCAAAAGGAACCGTAAATAAATTATTTACCCTAGCTAACTAAGTCTAAAAATCACCAAATGTTTACACAACATCAAATTGATACAGAGAAACAACATATTTAAAAATTAACTATTATGGATAACAAATCAATTTATTATGATATTAATAAGGTTCAGCCCAGAATTCGAATAATTAATTAAAATAGCTACAGGTGGAATTAAATTCTGAAATTTTTACACGACATGTAATAACAACACAGGTCGTCACATATAAAATTTCATGGCAATTGGAGTAGCATGCGATTTATCATGAATTTAACAAATATTCAGCAGCTAGCCGACTTACAAAAATCCACACAAGACTCGAAACAACACATTTTCGTCCAAGGCCTTTTCTATAAGGCCAAGAACTCATCCAAGTTCCAAAATCCACAGCCCTACATGTTTTTGATAGGATTTCATATGATCTTACATTAATCAAATAAAATCCCTCAAAAATCACATAAGATATAAACCGAACAAGCACGTAATCAATAAAGCTCGAATACGCGAATAACGAAAAGGGAATTCGAGCTTCAGTACCGTTCTCGAGATTAACACGCGACAACGAACGAGACGACAACTAAGATGGGCTGTTCGGAGGCCGGGAGCACGCTCGTCGGGCTCAACGTCAACGGCTCGCGGGGTGGCAATTACGTTGTCTTGCGGGGCTGTTCTGGCTCGCTAGGGACGTCGAAAAATGATTGCGGAGGTACCGACGGACAGCGGAAAACTCACTGATGGTGCTCGACCGAAACGAGGAGGCTTGCGGTGGCGGCTTACGACCCGACGGAGGACGACAATGGTCGGGGTTGCTCCTTGCGTATTGCAGGACCTTCACGTTGCTGGCGAGAGATGGACTGTGACGATGGTGCTAGCCGGTCTGCTGCGGCACACAACGGAGGTCCTGGGTACCCATTCGTGGTGGCGGGATGGAGGTTCTCGCCGGAAAAACCGCTCGCGGTGGTGGCTGCTCGCAAGCCTGCGAGGGAAGAAGATGATGATTATGGTGACCGGATGAAGATGGCCGAACTTGCAGCGATGGGGAGGGTTGCATCGGCATCGAGAGGATGGTGGGTCACGAAGGTCTGCGATCACGAACAACAGATGGTGGTCGGGTGGTGCACGGTGGTTCGCAGCCGAGCTTCTGATCGGAAACGCGAGGGGACTGGGTGGTGGTCTGAGGAGTCGCGATTGATGGCTTGCGACGGGATTAAGATGGTGATGATCGGACTGAGAGGGTGGTGATGCTGCGATGATGGAGATCGAAGGCTTGGTGATGATGAACAGAGAGGGAACGATGATGGATGGGGCAGATTTTTCTTTCTGCTGTGAAATTGCGAGATGAGAAAAGCTGCGGGGTTGCTCAGTTTGATGAGGGATTCTATTTCTCAATTAGATACATTAATTTAGGTTTGACAAATCTTGATCCCCAAGATAATACACGCGCACACACACACGCACGGAAAATAAGGGAGACCGGGTTCTCGGGCGGTTCGGTTCACATGCGGGTTCGAGGTAACAAGTCGTTCTCGGGCTCGGTTTAACCGCACGATTAAAATAAAAATAATAACCGGATAATATATATATATATATATATATATATCACATTTTATTATTATATTAATAATACACAATTTGACACATTATAAATAAATATAATGTTTAGGCAATTTGACAATTAAACACTTAATAATAATAATAATAATAATAATAATAATAATAATAATAATAATAATAATAATAATAATAATAATAATAACAATAATAATAATAATAATAAGAATAACGGGCAAATAATAATAATAAATCAAAATAAAACTCAAATAATTCATAAACGAACGGGGCGTTACAACGAAAGTACGTGGCTCGATACAATCAGATGTGCCTAGAAGTGCCCGCAGTCGTCGACGAGGTGAAGGCGGGAGGATTAATCAGGAGTCTACGACCGGGGCCTTGTCGAACGTCGTTGGCAAAGACGCCTGCTCGAACGTATGATGAGGTGTTGAAGAGGTGCAAGAAGTACATCAACCTGGAGGAAACAGAGGCTGAGTTTGCCAAGCTCGAAGAGGTGGCGAGGCCCGACCAGAGGAGGGGAAAGCCAAACTCACCCAGACGGGAGTCACCCAAGAGGAATCCTCAGAAGAGTGGCCCATTCAGGAGATCGTCGCCCAAGAGGGATGGGCGAAATTCGTTTCAAGGAGGACGAGAAGATCGCTGGCAAGGGCGACCTCGACTACCCAACGGGCAAAGATATAACAATTTTACTCCTCTTAACGCTCAGATGGGCGAAGTCCTGGTAGCCATGGAGGAAAAGCTGGATGGCAAGGAGATCACATGGCCAGCGACAAGATTCGACGGACCGACCAAGCCAAGGTCGGGCAGGTACTGCAGATTCCATAGGGATTATGGGCATAACACAGCAGACTGCAGACATCTGAAAGACGAGATCGAGCGCTTAATAAGGGCAGGGCATTTAAAAGAATTTGTAATCCAGGATCGACCACGAGGAAAGGAGAAAAGGAGGTGTAGGGAGGAGTCAGTGGTGAGAAGTGACAGGGACGATGATAGAGAGGATGATGACAGGAGGGAAAAGAGGAGTCGAGGAAGTGACCCTCGAGAGGAGCCTAGGAGGGAGATGCCATTAAAGAAAGTCACTATTTACATGATTTCTGGGGGGCCCACGGATGGGGACTCGAACAATGCACGGAAGGGGCATGTGCGAGCTGCGAAGCGTAAGAGGGAAGAAGTTGGGATAACTGGTCGAATGCCGGTGATTAGCTTTCGAGCAGAAGATGCAGAAGGGGTTTTATTGCCCCACAATGACGCGCTTGTTATCACTGCAGAAGTGGCTGGTTTCGATGTGAAGAGGGTGTTCATCGACACAGGCAGTTCGGTCGATGTCATGTTCTATGACTGCTTCGCGCAGATCAACAAACACCTGAATCTGGAGCTGAAGCCGGTGTTGACGGTGAACCCTCGATAGATCTTGAAAACTGGAGTAGAAAGCTGGGATTGGAAAGCAGGATTGGAAGAAAATACCTATTAAACCGATCACAAGAATACCTGTTACAGTCATGCAGTGCCCCGTATCGTATTAATGGTTTCCGCTATCGGGCGCGCCTTTTTAGCATGACGGGCTCGAACTCTCAGGTTTTGGTTGGATTTTCTTTGTTGGATTGATCTCTCTTTCGTATTCATTCGACCTGAGGCAAAAGAGAAGTCATACGCGGAAAGGCTACATCTAGTACCGGACCAATGATTTGGACAATACGCCCCGACTTTTTTTTTTCAAGCGTGGGCTACCAAAGGCTCAATCCAATCTGATAAAAGGATCTCTGATGCCGATTTTCTGCAAGCCGGATTGGAGAATTCTATAGGAAAGAGGCTGTAGGGTTCAGCTGGTGGTTAGAGCCAGTGGACTCTTTCTTTATTGTCCCCATCATATAGAGGGTTGCTTGCTTAGCCGCTAAGAGCTCTTCATAGCGTTTCCAATCCTTTTCCGTCTGCTCTTACTCGTTGTCCTATGAATGATATTCCCATTCATAAACATCTAGTTCCACATCATGAAAGATTCTCTTGACACGGGTGAATCAACGTCTTCACTATATATAGTTTTGTTATATGGTTTAGAACCAAATCCCGAGTTTTGTATCTAACGCTTGTTGGACAGACTAAAATTAGCTAGCATCCTGCTGGGGGACATTCGAATGAAAACTTTTGCCGGGGTGGCTCATCTGCGTCCAACACGAAACTTGTGATTGGTCGTAAACCACCGATTTGCTTGTTGAGACCTAATTCTATCTTCATAGATTTCTCAAGGAGAGGGGTGGTTCTGCGGAGTATAGCCACAATCATTTGGTCAGCTGGGTAGCTGGTTCTAGACCTAAAAGAAGGACAATTAACGCATTTGATGACACGACTTATTGTGGAGAAGCCTACATAGCCCGTAACCCCTCAGTGGACTCAGAAAGCGGAGAAATAGACTCTTTCTAATGGACATCTGACCGCTATTGAATAACAGAAAGTCATTGTACGATTTTAACGGGGGAGAGGTGATGCCGATGGGCGAAGTGAGCTTAACTGTGGCGTTGGGGTCGGGCGACACCAGGAAGGTGAGGATGGTGCGGTTCGTAGTAGTAGGAGCAGAGTCGTCCTACAACATCATATTAGGATGAACGGGATTGAACGCGTTCCAAGCAGTTGTGTCTACATACCACATGACGATTAAATATCCGGTGGGCGAAAATGTGGGCGAGATTGCTAGAGACCAACTCACATCGAGGAGTTGTTACCAAACCACCGTCAGTAATAACAAGCAAATGGCGAGGAAGCAGGTGAAAGGGAGAGAGGATAGACCAGATCGACCAGGAGGATCGAGGTCGAAGGAGGAGAAAGGATGGCAAGATAAGGGGAAAGAGAAAATGGACATGCAACCGGGAGGTGAGGTAGAGGAGGTCCAGATGGTAGAAGGGAAGGATGACCGAAAGTTCAGAATTGGGAAAGAACTAGGCGAACCAATCAGATCGAGATTGATAGACTTGATCAGAGAATTTGCAGATATCTTCGCATATACAGCAGGGGAGCTAACCGGGATCGAGGCCACGATAATCGAGCATCGGTTGAACATCGATCTTACAGTGAAGCCGGTGAAGCAAAAGAGGAGGCACCATGGAGCGGAGATGGACAAAATAATAGAGCAAGAGGTCGAGAAGCTCTTAGATGCCGGACATATAAAGAGGATCCAATTTCCCGAGTGGTTGTCTAACACGGTCATGGTATCCAAATCAGGAGGGAAGTGGAGGATGTGCATTGATTTCCGCGATCTTAACAAAGCATGCCCAAAAGATCTGTACCCATTGCCGCGAATCGACCAGCTGGTCGACTCGACGGCGGGTTGTGAACTCCTTTGTTTGATGGATGCCTCGCAAGGTTATCACCAAATCCCTTTGGTGAAGGATGACTTGAAGAGGGTGAGTTTTATTACGAGCAAGGGCATCTATTGCTATGTGGTGATGCCGTTCGGGCTGAAGAATGCAGGGGCGACCTATCAGAGGTTGGTCAACCAAATCTTCAAGGACCAGTTGGGAAGAAATATGGAGGTGTATGTGGACGACATGTTGGTCAAAAGCAAGAGGGAAGAGGATCATGCAGGCGACCTAAGAGAAACGTTCCAAACATTGAGAAGGTACGGCATGAAACTTAACCCTGCTAAGTGCTCGTTCGGAGTGAAAGCGGGAAAATTCCTGGGCTATATGGTGACCAAGAGGGGAATAGAAGTGAACCCAGAGAAGGTGCGGGCGGTCATCAAAATGAAACCACCCACCAGTGTGAAGGAGGTCCAAATCCTAACTGGTCGAATAGCGGGCCTGAGCCGATTTATCGCCAAGGTACCCGAGAAAAGTGGCCCCCTGTTCAAAACATTAAAGAAGAGCTCGAGATTCCAATGGACAGAGGGAGCGCAGAAAGCTTTCGAGGAGCTGCGGGAGGTGCTGGTGAATTTGCCATTGCTAGCCAAACCAGTGCCTGGAGAGGAGCTCATACTCTATATATCCGTGGGCGAAAGCGCAGTAAGCTCGGTGTTGTTGCGCGAAGAGGGAGCAGCTCAGTTCCCAATATATTATGTTAGCCGAGTAATGCAGGGAGCGGAGTTGAAGTATTCAGAGATTGAGAAATGCGCACTGGTGGTGGTCATGACAGTCAGACAATTGCGACCATACTTCTTAAACCACAAGGTCAGGGTGCGGACGAACATGCCCTTAGAGCAAACATTGGGTCGACCAGCAGTATCAGGTCGACTCATAAAGTGGGCGGTCGAACTGAGCGAATATTATATAGTGTACGAGCCAAGGAGGGCGATCAAGGCCCAGGTTTTGGCCGATTTTATCCAGGAAGGTACAAAGGAGGAGAGCGCGGAAGGAGAGTGGCAATTGTATGCGGATGGCTCAGTGTCGAGAAGCGGGGCCGGTTTGGGGATAGTCCTGGTCTCGCCCAAAGGCGATTATTTGGAGTTTGCTGTCAAGTTGGGATTCTACGTGTCAAATAACAGGCGGAGTACGACGCGGTTATAAAGGGGTTACAATTAGCTCTGCCGGTGGTGCTCGAAAGGTCCAGATTTATTCGGATTCCCAGTTGGTGGTCGGCCAATTTCAGGAAGGTTTTGAGATCAAAGAGGATCGACTGCAACGCCTTGTGGACAATATGAGGAAACTGAAAGAAGAATTTGCGTCGTTTGAGCTAATACAAATACCTCGGGGAGAGAACGGTAGGGCTGATTTGTTATCTAAAATCGCCCAGAATCTGGTAGATTGCAAGAGTAGAAATGTGACTCTGCTCCACATGGAGAAAAGCACAGCTGAGGCCGAGGTAGCAGAAATTGAAGAGGTAGAAGATTGGAGGTCCTCGATCCAGAGAGAGTTGCGAGAAGGGGCAATAAAGGTAATAAGGAGATTTTTCGAACAGGGCGGGGTGCTCTACAAACGATCCTACGCAGGCCCGCATTTGAGGTGTGTGTCCAGAGAGGAAGGTCGAAGCGTTTTACGAGAGGTGCATGAAGGGTGTTGTGGTGATCATAGCAAGGCCGTAGCCATGGTCGCTAAAATCTTAAGAGCTGGTTACTTTTGGCCGACAATGAAAGCGGATGCGAAGGAAATGGCCAAAAAATGCGGGCAATGCCAAAAGCATGGCCCACTCATACATCAACCGGCGGAGATGATGACCACAATGAGCGCACCAATCCCGTTCGCACAATGGGGGATCGATTTGGTGGGTCCAATGCCACAAGCAACCGGGCAGCGTAAGTTCTTGATCGTCGCGGTCGACTATTTCACGAAGGGGGCAGAAGCTGAGCCGTTGGCCAAAATCACGGAAGAAAAAGTAATCCAATTTTTATACAACAATATTTGATGTCGATTCGGAGTCCCCAAAATTCAAATATCGGACAACAGAACTCAATTCAACGGAAAGCGGGTCAGAGCGTGGTGTGAGGAGATGGGGATCGAGCAACACTTTGCCTCGGTCGCCCACCCTCAGGCCAACGGACAGGTGGAAGTGACCAATAGAATTATATTGAATGGCTTGAAGACGAGATTGGAAAAGGCCTCGGGGGCTTGGGTCGATGAGTTAACATCTGTGCTCTGGGCATACAGGACCACCCCGAGGTCGACCACGGGGGAGACGTCGTTCAGCCTGGTCTATGGAATGGAGGCACTCTTGCCAATTGAACTGGAGTTGCAGTCCCAGAGGGTAAACACATATGATCGAGAGCAGAATGAAGAGCTCATGATAACTGCCCTAGACACGATCGAGGAGCTCTGAGAACAAGCCTCGACCAGAGTCGAAGCGTATAAGCAACGAATGAGAGCAGCGCATGACAGGAGAGTGAAGATTCGCCGATTCCAGGTGGGTGATCTGGTTTGGAAAAGGGTGGACGTGCTCAAGCATGTAGGAAAGCTGGAGCCCAATTGGGAGGGACCATACCTGGTCGAAAAAGTTCACGCAGGGGGAGCATACTCGCTGAAGGATGCGG